ATAAGCGGCTTACTCCCTTGCTACCACAAGGCACAAAACAAAACACAGAAAATTTACCAGCCAGTTGAGGCTGAAGGCTCTATGGGTAGTAGTCCCAGTGGGCTTGAGGGATCCAGGACTAGCACCCAAATTTTATACCCAGATCCACAGAGTTCCTCAGAAACCAACAAGGAAACCAAGTCCTATATGTAAAAGCAAAGAGCCTTTATTATTATACAATTTGTGAACTCTGACTCTCCATGTGCCCAATGTGTTAGTGAGACCAGAGAGCCCTGAGCACAGTTGGGATGGGGTTTTTATAATAGCAGAGGGATTTTTAAGGCTCAGGACCCCTGATTGACTGACATTGTCTAGGGGTGCCCTGGTTAAAGGGAGTGGGTGTTTACTGGGCTTACAGACATCAAGAGATCCTATTTATAGTATTGGAACATTAGGAATTGCCTTTGGATGGTCTGTTTCTGGGAGAAGTATGGATGGGCTCAGTTTGTGGTTTTTCTTGGAACCAGGTATTGCCTTAGGGTAAACCGAGGTTCAGGCCTACATTCCTATTGGTCTATAGAGCCTGACTTGGCAGCTGTGTACCAAGCTGCCCTGGGTCCTACATGTGTGTGTCTGTGTGTGCATGTGTATATGCGTGTGTGTATGTGTGTGTGAGTGCATGTGCTTGTTCGCTTGTGTGTGTGTCTGTGTGTGCATGTGTATATGCATATGTGTGTGAGTGCATGTGCTTATTCACTTGTGTGTGTGTCTGTGTGTGCATGTGTATATGCGTGTGTGTGTGAGTGCATGTGCTTGTTTGCTTGTGTGTGTGTCTGTGTGTGCATGTGTATATGCGTGTGTGTGTGTGAGTGCACGTGCTTCTTTGCTTGTGTGTGTGTGCATGTGTATATACATGTGTGTGAGTGCACGTGCTTCTTCGCTTGTGTGTGTGTATGCGTGTGCGTGTGTGTATACGTTGTCGGAGCCCGTGTGGGTCCAACACAGATTCCCGAACCCGGCTGGAATGGAGTCGCGAGGAATAAAACTGACACAGCTTACACGGTCCTCATGGAAAAAGCCAGAGTCCCCTTCATTCTTCAAACATCTTATATACCCACACCAAATGAGCGGGAACACACAAAGGCTGTTGCCTAGGCAACCAGGTGCCTGGGCTCAGGTCATGTCTGCATCTGGCAGGTCCTGAATTAGCATCTCTATAAGACATCCTCCAAATTACAAAAGGAAGGAAGCACCAAACATCTGAACTCTTAAGACATCAGCTTTCGGTCAACATCTCTTCTCAGGTGATCTACATTTATAACAAAAGAAGCTAGGAGCAGCACATCCTGGCTTTTGTTAAGGACACAGTTTGTCTGCAGAGCTACATGATCAGCTCAGACCGGGCTAATGGCTTTTGTGCCATATTGAAATATGGGCCCACAATACGTGTGTGTGTGTGTGTGCACGTGCTTGTTCGCTTGTGTGTGTCTGTGTGTGCATGTGTATATGTGTGTGTATGAGTGCACATGCTTGTTCGCTTGTGTGTGTGTCTGTGTGTGCATGTGTATATGTGTGTGTATGAGTGCACGTGCTTGTTCGCTTGGGTGTGTGTCTGTGTGTGCATATGTATATGTGTGTGTGTGAGTGCATGTGCTTGTTTGCTTGTGTGTGTCCACGTGTCTGTGTGCGTATGTTAGTGTGTATATGCGTGTGTGTGAGTGCACGTGCTTGTTCGCTTGTGTGTCCACGTGTCTGTGTGCCTATGTTAGTGTGTATATGTGTGTGTGAGTGCATGTGCTTGTTTGCTTGTGTGTGTCCACGTGTCTGTGTGAGTATGTTAGTGTGTATATGCAAACCTCTGCATGTAAACCCAGAAGACAACCTTGAATGCTATTGCTCATACTCAGGTCATCTGTTTCTTGTTTTTGTTGCTGCTGTTGCTGCAGTGTCTGACAGGCCTGGGGTTCACTGCTTAGGCTGGGACCGCAGGAGCCCTCCCCTGGGCAGCTCCCTGAGGTCAGCCGGCACTGGAGACGGAGCATCCTTGGGTTTCCAACACCTCCACAGCACCCACAGAGCACATCTAGCTTCATTCTCCCTGCCCTCTACCGTTGTGGGAATTCATTTAGCCAATAACCTTCTGGGTACCAGTCCATTACGGTGTGGTCTGAGGAAATCAAAAAACAGATAAAAAAAGAATAAAAAATCTTTTTTTTTTATATTATTTATTTTTTTTTTTTGAGACAGGGTTTCTCTGTAGCTTTGGAGTCTGGAACTCACTGTGTAGACCAGGCTGGCCTCAAACTCACAGAGATCCGCCTGTCTCTGCCCCTCACCCCTGAGTGCTGGGATTAAAGGCGTGCTCCACCACTGCCTGACTGTGCTCACTGTCTTGGGTGGTGGTCAGAGTTCCGTTAACAACTTCCAGCGCCTACAGAACAGAGGACTGCACTCTCTACTCTTATTGTGAGTTTTTCTCCAAAATAAATATTTTTTATTCCTTATTCTGGGCTCTTGTGGACTTCGCTAATTGTATCTACAAGCTGCTGTTCTTTTTCTATTTTTTTAGTGTGCCGTTATGCCTCGCCTCTGTTGGTCTTGCTAAACCTTATTTACTTTAGGTGGGCAGTGGTGGCAGAGGCAGAAGTAGTTGGAGCTTCGTGAGTTCAAGGCCAGTCTGGTCTACAGATTGAGTCCAGGGCAGGTAGAACTACACAGAGAAACCTTATCTCAAAAAACAAACATCAGAAGCTTATTAATTTTTCTTTTATGTGTTGGTTGTTTTTCTGTGGGCTTAGTTGCTGCAGAGTCTACTGATATTTTAACTACTGTCAGCACCCTGCTGCTTAGTCAGAGGCCTGGCGGGACTTCCAGTCCCAGCTTGGCTGAATCTGCCAAATGTAGATTTTAACTGAATCTCTATGGTTCTGTTTACAATTAATGACCCAGGAATCAGATGTTGGGGTTAAACCTTCTAGCTCAGAGAAGCTGAGAAACAACTAGCTGAGCTTCATTTCTGAGGGAGACCCAGCAGACAAAGTATCTCTTTCCACTTGCCCCAAACCAAAAAGAGCAAATCTCTAAGCCCCACCGTAGTCCATCCTGTGGGTCTCTGTATCAGTATTTCTGGCTCCTCTGTGGTCTCTATGACTAATTTCTGTGAACACGTTGCTGGCTCTGCCCCTGATTCAAGGGTAATTTTATTAACACGGTCTCGGAGTTTCTCAGTGCGATTAAATATCCTGCAAGAGTGAGCGCTTCGGTCTGTGCCGGCTGAGCGCCTGGTGCCCATGGAGGTGAGAAGGTCTCAGATCACTGGGACTGGAGCTACGGTGGTGAGCCAGCATTGGTGCTGGGAATCAAACTCAGGTCCTCTCCAGGAGTAGCGAGTGCCCCCAACTGCCGGGCCATCTCCCTAGCTCCACTGCTACTTTGTCCTACCACATACATGGGTGGGCCTAGGTGGACTGTCGGAGAGCTAAGCCTCCCGCCTTTCCAGATTCAGCTTCCCGTGGTGCTGGACTACAGTCTCCAGTCACCTCATGTGCCTGCAACTTTTGTGTCCTGATTTCAACTCTGCTATGCTTTCTGCGCTCCACGCCTACAGAACGCTTCCTATTGGGTCTTGAAAACCAATGTAACAAGCTGTGCAGTGCTGGCGCACGCCTTTAATCCCAGCACTCAGAGTTTGAGGCCAGCCTGGTCTACAGAGCGAGTTCCAGGACAGTCTTCATAGTTACTGAGAAACCCTGTCTTGAACACCCCTCCACCCCCAGCCAAAAACAAACAAACAAAAAAATCAATATAATAACAGGTCGAGTTCATGGAGCCTCTGCCACAGCACAGCACCAAGGAATTCATTACAGCAAGATGTGATCATACCTCATTTAGGTCTGCCTAAGATCTGCCCCTCCCGTGAGAGGCTGGGGGCGTGGCTCAGGGTGGAGCCCCTGCCTAGGATCCCCCAGTGAGGGGCTAGGGGCGTGGCTCAGGGGTGGAGCCCCTGCCTAAGATCTGTCCCTCCCGTGAGAGACTGGGGGCGTGGCTCAGGGTGGAGCCCCTGCCTAGGATCTCCCAGTGAGGGGCTGGGGGTGTGGCTCAGGGTACCTGGGATTCCATCCTGGTTACCATGTGAAAAGTCGTATGGACACAGTGCTATAGTGGGTGGAGACAGGAGGGTGGCTAAGTTTTGCTGGCCACCAGCATAGCTACAGGGAGCAAGAGACCCTGTCTCCAGGGAAGGAGGTGGACCGTGAGTGACTTCCTCCTCTGGCGTACACACACATATAGGACGTGAAGAAGACACCTAAGCTGCCATTGTCAGGCATGGTGGCACATATGTGAAATCCCAGCACTCAGGAGACTGAGGCAGGAGGATTGCTGCAACTCTGAGCCAAGTGTGGTCCACATAGTAAGTTTCAGACTAGTTTATGGTACATAGCCATATTGTCTGAAAAATAAATAAAATATTTTTAAGAGAGGAAAAGGAGCGACTGTTGCATTTCCTTACAAAAAGTTCAAAGCATACAAAACAGCTGCATTTGCAAGAAGCAAGAAGAAGGAACATAAGGGAATTAACATTTCTGAGAAATGAGGGGGCAATGGGGACCCCACAGGGACAGCGGGGACTCCTGTGGGACCAGCCAGCCTGTCGAGACCGCAGCAGTCCCAAGTGATTTCTCACAACCCTTGTATTCCCAAAATAAAAGGGAAGGGCAAAAGGCTTCCTTAGTATGGCTCAAGGAAAAACAAGCATAATCACCTTAATACTCAAAACATCTAGCAACCATGCCCTTAGTCAAACATCCTGTTCTTTGGCCTTGACAAACTTGAACTCTCTGACCTTAAGTCAAGATGGGAATCGAGTCACTGTGGGACCCCACACATTCCAGCCTGAAGTGGCCTTATTTACCACTGATATCTATCTAAAAATTTAAAAATGAAGTCGGGTGGTGGAGGCACACATCTTTAATCCCAACACTCGGGAGACAGAGACAGGCGATGTTTGTGCATCTGAGGCCAGCCGTGCCTGGTGTACAGCAAATTCCACGACAGTCAGGGCAACACCCAGAGATACCCTGTCTCGGAGAAACAAAGCAACAGCAAAACAAGAACTGGAGGTCTCAGGATTTCTCCGTTTCTAGGATGGAACTCAAATGCGCTGCTGCAAAGCCGTAAGACCCATTCTTTGTTCCACTCTTTCTTCTGCAGGTGGGGGAGGTGAGGCATTGTCAGGAGAGTTTGGACACGGGGATGGAACCTAGGACACTGTGCAAGCGGGGCCAATGGGTCAAGGCCCCCAGCCCCTCGCTGGGGCTCCACCCCTGAGCCACGCCCCCAGCCCCTCCAGTGGCGCATCTTGGTTTCCTCTGTCAATCCTCTGCTTCATCCTGCATATCACACCGGCTCTCTTCCTGTTTTTATTCCTAAAGTCTGTTTTCTCACTTAACTTTTGGGTATTGGCAGCCCAAAAGGCTTACTGGACTGCTCTGCATGGTGTTCCAGGAACTGCGGGTGCACTGGGTCTGAGGCTCGGAGAGAGACATCTGAGAACATAACTTGGCGTTCTTCGGAGGAACCGGCTCCTTCTGCACAGAACAGCCACACTGGCAACAGATGGGTAAACGGAGGCAGGGCTCAAGCGGGTCTGGAGCCTGCTAAGGAGCTGAGGATGTCAGGAGAGCCAGGGATGGAGGAAGGGCTCCCACCATCACCTGCTGCGGCCTGAGGACTTCTTTCCAGAAACCCTCAGGCTGAGTCTGTGAGTTCCACGGGTCGAACTCGAGCTGTGTGGCTGGCTCAGCCGTGCAGGCTCCCATGGCTGTAGTTTTGAGCAGGACATCAATAGAAGGCGAGGTTTTCAGAGGAAGAGGTCCCCAGGAGAAGGCTCCTCTTAGCTCATCAGGACTGGGTGGCTCAGAGGTTTTGGGTTTTTCCCCCTGTGTTTTTTGAGCATTGCTTTAACCTTTGCGAGGTTAAAGGTTGGGGGTGGAGTGGAAACCAAAGCCTGAAATGTAAAGCAGGTCCCAGCCCGGGCAGGTCCAAGGGGCTCCAAGGACACGCGTGACAACACCCTCGAAAGGGCTCCCTCTGTACACTCAGGTCCCCAGCAACCCCCTCCCTTCCTGTTTTGTCTGCTGTCACCAGGCTCTTACCCCAGTAGGGTGGCCTCAGCTTCACAGGTTTCTAAGCTCCAACCCCGCCCCGCCCCCAGGGCGTCCTGACTTTCGGTAAATGAGGCGGCCAGGAAGCTCAGAGGCCGCACAGGAAGGAGCGGGGACTTTCCTGTCACAGCCCGGCTGCCGCCACCTCGGCGCAGCTGCAGGTAGGAGCTCGGGGAGCGGGCACTGGGCACTGGGGGCGCGGAAGCCGGACGCAGCCGAGGACACCGCACCGGGCGGCGGCAGCAGCGCGCATGCGCTGCGGGCTCCCTGCCCCCACTCTCCGGTCCGCGGCGCGGGAGGAAAAGGGCCCGAACTTTCCTTTGGTAAAAGCTCATGCTCCTTTAGGACTTATATCCGCTTTGTTGTTTTATTTCTTTCATTTTGTATTTTGAGACTGGCTCTCCTTCTGTAGCCCTGTTGGCCTGGTCACTATGTAGCCCCCAAACTCGTAGCAATCCTCCTGCAGCCTCCCTAGGAGCAACAAGAGTTGGGGGAAATGACAATGATAGTTTTATTTTTACATACTTAAATAACATTTTTAATAATTTTGTTGTGTGTGAGTGTGTTGCTATGGCGCACTTTGAAAGCCAGAGGGCATCTTGTCGGAGTGGGTTCTTTTCTTCCTCCTGGGGGGTTTCAGGCTTGGGGCAAATCTCTACCTGCTTAGCCACCTCGCCCACCCTTATTTGTTTCTTAGAGAAGTCTGACCTTGAACCTTGGTGACAGGTTAATTTTCTCTATTTTCTTTATTTGAGACAGTGTCTATGAAGCACTGACTGCGCTAAAAAGTGCGCTGACCTCAAACTCACAGAGATCCGCCTGCCTCTGCCTCCCAAGTGCTCGCATGTGACCACCATGCCTGGCATTAGTTTTATTTATTTTTATTTACTTTATTTTTATGTATTTTGTTTTGGGTGTTTATTTGTTGAGACAGAGTCTCAGTGGGTAGCCCCAGCTGTCCTAGAACTCGCTTTGTAGACCAAGCTGGTCCGGAATTTACAGATATCTGCCTGCCCCTGCCTCCTGAGTGCTGGGACTAAAGCCCTGGGCCCCACAGCCCTGTGAACACGAGCTTCACGAGTGCAATGCTTATGGAGGCCAGAAGGGGGCGCTGGGCCCACCGGCGCAGGAGATGATTGAGCGCCACCATGGTTGCTGGGGACTGAATGCAGGCTCTGCCTGAGCACCGGTGCTCTCGGCCACTCAGCCATGTCTCCAGCACTTCGTTTCTCAATCTATTTATTTACTTACGTATTTCTGTTGTTGTTTATCTGTTTGAACCCCCGTCTCCTGCAGCCCAGACTGGCCTTGGCCTTCTAGTGTTCTGCCTCCACCAATGAACTTTTGTGGTGGAGAGTGTGAGCCACCACGCCTACTTTTGTTGCTTTATGGGAGGATGCACATGCAGAGGTCAGAGGGCAACTCTGTCGTTAAAGCGCCCTCTCTCTATGTGGCTTTGCAGATGGAACTCCTGTCTTTAGGCTTGGTAGCAAGCGTCTTTCCCGGCCAAATTCCTGGTCCTGAGGTGGTAGGCCTGAGGCTCAAGTCCCGCCCCTTGCTAGCGCCAACTCTGAGGCTGGCTGGGAACCTCCCCACTGTGGGGACCTACCCACTGTGGGGACCTAAGAGGCTCACAAAGTGCTGGCGGGATGTGGAGGTGAAGAGAGACCAGGAAGGGCTGGGGAGACAACAGGCCACAAACCATCACACCAGAGGCAGCTCAGCTGGTCATGTGACCTGAAGACCCACAGGGAATGAAAGCTGTCCCCATCCCTCCAAACCCCTTCTGCTTCCTGCTCAGACCTATTTCTGTATCTGCCGTTGATTGTTCATGCCTGCCTGGGGTACTGGCCTGTGTGGCTAGAATGGGATGTGCAGGCAGGCTTGGGGATCAGTTGGAGATGTCTGCCCTGGGTGCAGAGAAGTGCAGAGGGTATGACTTCACACAGAGCCAGAAGACACCAGTCCCCAGCCCGCATGCCACAGTCCCCCCTGACCCGCCTCTCCGCCTCTCCAGGTTGTGCTCATGGCACCTCCGAGTGAGGAGACGCCTCTGATCCCTCAGCGTTCTTGCAGCCTCTCGTCCTCAGAGGCGGGATCTCTGCATGTCCTCCTTCCTCCGCGGGGATCTGGGCCTCCCCAGCGACTGTCATTCTCTTTTGGGGACTACTTGGCAGAGGATCTGTGTGTGCGGGCAGCCAAGGTCTGTGGTGAGTAGGTCCCTAGATGACTGAGCAAGACATCTACTGAGAAAAGGAGTGGTCAGCCTGGGTGCTGGGGCTCTGGGGGATGAGGAGAAGTTTGGTAAGGGAGGGCCATGGGCTCAGCCTACGTTGCTGCACTGATGACCGAGCTCATGGCCCATCCCTTCAGGCATCCTGCCTGTTTATCACCCGCTCTTCGCTCTGGCCACCGAGGACTTGTCTCGCTGGTTCCCCCCAAGCCACATCTTCTCTGTGGAGGACGCGGACACTCAAGTCTTGGTCTACAGGCTCCGGTAGGAAGTGAGCCCCTCCATTCACCGGAAGGGTTGTGTTACTGTCAGTCCACAGCAGAGGCTGAGACCAGAGAGGGTGGGCCTTCGGCCACACAGCCCATCAGTGACAGCTTGGGCTCTGTGAAGCCAGAGCTGAGTGTGCCACCCCATTCTGAACCCACAGGTTTTATTTCCCTGACTGGTTTGGACTGGAGACATGTCACCGCTTTGGGCTGCGCAAAGATCTGACCAGCGCCATTCTCGACTTACACGTTCTAGAACACCTCTTTGCCCAGGTTGGTAGTCTTCGGTGGGTAAGGTTCAACCCAGGGATGGGGACCCCAAAGCAACAACCTCCCAGGTCGGGCTGGGCAGGACCTCACCTGGCTGTCCGCCTGTGCCCGACCTCAGCACCGCAGTGACCTGGTGAGTGGGCGCCTCCCAGTGGGCCTCAGCCTGAAGGAGCAGGGAGAGTGCCTGAGCCTGGCTGTGCTGGACCTGGCGCAGATGGCTCGTGAGCAGGCCCAGAGGCCAGGCGAGCTGCTGAAGACCGTCAGGTGAGGACCTGGGCCTGCCCGGTGACGAGGCTCCCGGGCCATCGCTCCCTGGTCTCAACTGGCTGCGGACCTGGGGTTCCATCGTTTTCCCTTACCAAACTTCTACACATACCTCATTTTCCAAAGCTGACTCCTGTAGACTCTTCCCTCAGTCCACCTCTGCCGAAAGGTCCCCGATGTCTGTCGCGTGTCCTTCGGGCACCTCTCCCCACCCTGAGACCCCGCGTGCTCCCACCTCACAGCTACAAGGCCTGCCTGCCACCCGGCCTGCGCGACCTGATCCAGGGTCTGAGCTTCGTGACAAGAAGGCGCATCCGCAGGACGGTGCTCCAGGCGCTGCGCCGCGTGGTCGCCTGCCAGGCCGACCGCTACTCGCTCATGGCCAAGTACATCCTGGACCTGGAGAGGCTGCACCCGGCGGCCGCCGCCGAGACCTTCCGCGTGGGGCTCCCGGGAACCCAGGAGGAGCCAGGGCTCCTGCGTGTGGCCGGGGGCAGCGGAGTCGCCTGGAGCCCCGGGGACCAAGAGGTGTTGGGGGCGGGGCCTTAGGGGGAGGGGCGGTCAGGAAAAAAGCCGGCCAGGGACGGGACCAATCAGGGGAGCAGTTAGAGGCCGGAGTGGAGCGGTGCCAATCAGGGGAACCAATCCAGCGAGGGAACAGTTGGGGCGGGGCCGCCTGCACCAATCAAGGGTCGAGGCTAGTCAAAAGGCGGGGCTAATTTGGGGGCGGGGAATGGCAACACCAAGGGGCGGGGTTAGCTGAAGGCAGGGACTGGACCAACAGGGCGGAGCTAGTTAGGGAGGGACCCGAGGCCTGGTTATCACCAGGGGCTGGTCGGTGGGTGGGGCCATCAGGGCGTGGTGGGGGCGGGGTCAAACAGGGGGTAGTTGGGATTGGATCGGTGGGGTAGCTAGTTCGAGGCCCAATCCCCCTCTAGGAATTGGGGGTGGGAAGGAGGGAAAAGTAGGCATGGCAGGGCTGGATCAGGGCTGCAGGCTCACTGAGGCACTGAATGCTCAGGAATGCAATCCCCCAGCCTCGGTCTGTTCTTTCTTCCTCAGCTTTTCCAGACCTTCTGTGACTTTCCCGAAATCGTGGACGTCAGCATCAAGCAGGCCCCACGCGTGGGTCCGGCAGGGGAGCATCGGCTGGTCACCGTTACCAGGATGGACAGCCACATCCTGGTGGGTCTTGGGACCCGCTGCTCTGGTGCTGACCCTGGGAGCTGGGCGGGCGGTGTGGGGCTCCGTTGTTGCTGAAGAGTTCTCCCACGCAGGAAGCAGAATTCCCGGGGCTGCCTGAGGCGCTGTCCTTCGTGGCCCTCGTAGATGGTTACTTCCGCCTGACCTGCGACTCCAGGCATTTCTTCTGCAAGGAGGTAGCACCGCCAAGGCTGTTGGAGGAGGTGGCAGAGATGTGCCACGGACCCATCACGTGAGGAGTGGGCAGCTGGGGTCACAGAGGGGTCGCGGAGGGTCTTGGACAGTGGTGAGGACACCCCTGGAGGCGTGACTGGGCGACAGGGACTGGTCCCAGTCTGACCTGCCTTCTGTCTTGGCCTAGGTCAGACTTCGCTGTCCACAAACTGAAGACCGCTGGCTCCCTCCCAGGCTCCTACATTCTCCGCCGCAGCCCTCAGGACTATGACAGTTTTCTTCTCACTGCCTGCGTCCAGGTTGGTTCACTGCTGGTGGCAGGGTGGCTTCCTGGAGGAGGTGACATCTGAGCTGGGACACTATCAGGAGTATTCATTTTTTTCTTGAAGAGTACTGAACTATAATCCTAGAATTATATATAATCCTAGGATCAAGTTTACAGGCCAGCCTGGGCTACATAGAGAAACTGTGAATCAAAAAATGTGAGGACGGACTTGGGGCAGTTGTCTCAAGGGGAAAAGGTATTTCCCACCAAGCCTGAGGATGCGAGTTCGATCCCAGGCACTCACTTGATGGAAGGACAGGACTGACCCTGCTCTCTGACCTCCACGTGTGCACAGTGCATCTACATGGAAACTCCAGAATAAATGTAATTTTAAAAACTCAAAAAAGCTCAGGGGAAAAACAAAACAACAAAAAAATTAAAAGCTTAGGGGACACACACATTCCCAGTACCTGAAAGAGTGTCTGCAGAGGCTTGGAGGCTGCATGGGCTGGGAGCTCTGCTTCCTTCCCCACCCCTGCTTCAGGTCCAGTTTCCCTTCACAGACGCCCCTTGGCCCGGACTACAAGGGCTGCCTCATCCGCCGGGACCCCACCGGGGCCTTCTCCTTGGTCGGCCTCAGTCAGCCGCACAGGAGCCTCCGGGAGCTCCTCGCAGCCTGCTGGCATTCTGGGCTGCATGTAGACGGTGCCGCCCTGAATCTCACATCCTGCTGCGCCCCCAGACCCAAGGGTGAGCCGGTCTTCCTCCCCCCAATCCTAGCAGTTCGTGGCTGGGACTGAAATCGGGGAACCGGGGGTAGGAAAGAACCCGCCATCTATTTTTGGTGCAGTCTTCAGGCGTGTCCCGATCTGACTTTCTGCCGCCCCTGGCTTCTTTCTGTGGGTGAATGTCACTGAGACAAAGCCCCCGCTGGGACACGTCTCCCCACCCCACAATGCTGCCCTGGTTGACCCAGGATAATTGGGGCCTGGACCCTTCTGCTCACAAACCAGCACTTTCAGGTTGCTTCTCAGGAGCGAATTCTGGGAGTTCCTCAGGCAGGGGAGGGGTGCTCTTGTGACCTCTGCTTTCTTGCCTCTGCCCCCTAGAAAAGTCCAATTTGATAGTGGTAAGAAGGGGCTGCACCCCTTCCCCAGCCCCCAGCCGCACCCTGTCCTGCTGCACGCTGATGCAACTGAGTTTCCACACGATCCCTGCGGACAGCCTGGAGTGGGTGAGGGTCCCCGGGGACAGAGTGGGTGAGGGTCCCAGGAGCCTGGAGTGAGTGAGGGTCACGAGACCTTTTTCCGGGGGACATGGGAGCCACTGTCAACTGCCGCTGCCTCGGCTTCTTCCAAGCAGCATGAGAACCTGGGCCACGGCTCTTTCACCAAGATCTACCGTGGCCACCGGAGGGAGGCCGTGGATGGTGAGACACACGAAACGGAAGTCCTCCTGAAGGTCATGGACGCCAGACACCGGAACTGCATGGAGGTGCGGTGGGAACCCGAACAGAAGGCCATGCAGACCTGCATGGAGCCGTTCCTGTTGTCCCAGCACTTGGGGGATGCTGAAGCAGGAAGATCACTGGGACTTAGAAGTCCAAGGCCAGAGGGACATAGGGACTCCCATCAAACCAAAACCGAGAGCAGCCATGCTCCGCCTGGCGGTAGAGAGCAGCAGCAGGCCCAGCCAAGCAGAGGTCCTGAGGGTTTCTGATAGGGCATGAGATCTCAGCTCTTCCCCGAGCCCATCACATCACCAGAGACTTCCAACACAGTCTGGGCGCATCTCATCAGCTTGGTGAGCCTCACACTGGGGACAAATGGGGAGGAACCCATGTATCTTCTGCTTTCCCTCCCCAGTCCTTTCTAGAAGCCGCGAGCCTGATGAGCCAAGTATCCTACCCGCACCTCGTCTTGCTACATGGCGTCTGCATGGCTGGAGACAGTGAGCCTCACCCTGCACCCCAACCCAGCCTTGGCCCCTCACCCACTCCCGACCCCAAACTCACCTACCTCACACCCCAGACCCACACCCACAGACTTGGTTCTATTTCTACCTTGCTGGCTAATCACTGTGCAACATTGCACTTCTGGCACGCCCTCTCTGTTATATCTCTTTAGTTGCGCTGATAGTTAAGGAAAGTCTAACCTGTGCTAAGAGCAGAGCCAGAGCCCGCTGAGGCTAGCCAAGCCACCAACCCTGTTCTCCCGTTCTCAGGCATCATGGTGCAGGAATTTGTCTATCTAGGCGCAATTGATACGTACCTGCGCAAGCGTGGTCACTTGGTGCCGGCCAGCTGGAAGCTGCAGGTGGTCAAGCAGCTGGCCTATGCCCTCAACTATTTGGTTAGTGTTCCCTGTGTTCATAGGGGAGTCCTCCTCAGAGGACAGGGAAATGAAAACGGGCTCTGTGGTGTGGGAAGGAGCTCAGTAAGGAAGAAAGAGTGGCCAGTTCAGAGTGAGGGACCAGGACAGGGGTCGGCTCAGAGGACTGAGAGCGTCAAGGGTGAGAACTGTGCACCCACAGGTGTCAAGGAGAGTAGTGAGTGATGAGGCCACGCTGGGGAAAGGCTTTTCAAAAGCAGGGAACCTTAGACTTTTGGGGGGTTAGAAAGTTGAATAAGAGTTCATCAAGAAGGCAGGCAGTGGTGGTGCATACCTTTAATCCCAGCACTTTATAGGCAGAGGTAGGAGGCTCTCTGAGTTCGAGACCAGCCTGGTCTACAGAGTTCCAGGAAAGCCAGGGCTGTTACAGGGAGAAAACTGTCTCAAAAGCAGAGGGGGGGGGGCTTGACCAGGCTTGGGGCTTTCACCAGTAAGGGAGGGAGGGCCCGGTAAGTCAGTATAACGGGACTAGGGCTACAAGATGCCAGGAGCCCACAGGAGACGCCAGCGTCTGTTCTGTTCTATCTGGGCAGCTAGGTTTTGAAGGATGCAGAGGAGTTTGTCTGACAGTATTCATTCACCAATCTCTGACCCACACTTCCATGTGTGTGTAACACTTAGGAAGACAAAGGCCTCCCTCATGGCAACGTCTCAGCGCGGAAGGTGCTCCTGGCTCGAGAGGGGGTTGATGGGAGTCCTCCCTTCATCAAGCTGAGTGACCCTGGCGTCAGCCCCACAGTGCTAAGCCTAGAAAGTGAGTACAGGCTAGCCTTCCGAGTCTGCAGTCAGGCGCAGTCGCACTGGGTGCGCACGGGTGTGCGTTTCCGGAAGGTGACCGCCCATTGCTCGTCCCCCAGTGCTCACCGACAGGATCCCCTGGGTGGCCCCCGAGTGTCTGCAGGAAGCCCGGGCGCTCGGCTTAGAGGCCGACAAGTGGGGCTTCGGCGCCACGGCGTGGGAGGTGTTCAGTGGGGGACCCGTGCACATCACCTCGCTGGAGCCCGCCAAGGTCGGGGCGGCCACTGAGCTGGGATCCGGAGTGCGGGGGGGGGGGGGGGGGAAGAGGGGCGGGCGAGGTTGGGTGGGGAGGGCAAGATGAGGCCACGTGACGGGCATCTCCCCTGCCCCCCAGAAGCTGAAATTCTACGAGGACCGGGGGCAGCTGCCGGCCCCAAAGTGGACGGAGCTGGCGGGGCTCATCGCGCAGTGCATGGCCTACGACCCGGGCCAGCGGCCCTCCTTCCGCGCCATCCTCAGGGACCTCAACGGCCTCATTACCTCAGGTGCCGGGTCTGGGTCGGGTGGTGAGAAGGAGGAGGGTCCTGGGAGCTGGGAGTGGGAGGGCCCTGAGATGGGCGGGTCCCAGGGGCGGGGAGGGAAGGGTCCCCAGGAAGGAGAGGGTCTGGGGGCGGCGGGGAAAGTACTCAACTGTGCACAAGGAAGGTGCTGGCTCCAACAGTCAGCGCCATCTAAGACAGCTGCAGCAACAAACAGGCCCCTTGGCTCAAGATTCGATACGCATTTGTTTCACAAGGTGGCCTCTCAAACTAGAGCGCTCGCGGCCTCACCTTCTGGGGTGCTGGGATTTGGTTTTATTTTATTAATCTTAAAGTTTTGCCGACACGATTTCTCATCTGAGGGGGGATCACAGGCTGTCCTCACTCCATGACTCTGCCCCCACTGGGGCCCATTTGTTTGTAACATTGGAGTCCCACAGAAAGTGCCTTCTCTGGACAGAGATAGTTTCCTCTCCCCACGTGGTACCCACGGGCTGGCTATAGTGCACAGAGAGGGCAATGTTCAGGTGGAGTTCACACAGCAAGTCATTTCGGTCTGAGGCAGAGAAAGATTACACTTACGCATGTGACCCCTAGATTATGAGCTCCTCTCAGACCCGACGCCCGGCAGCCTGAGTCCCCGAGATGAGCTGTGCACTGGCACCCAGCTCTACGCCTGCCAGGACCCCACCATCTTTGAGGAGAGGCACCTTAAATACATCTCTCTGTTGGGCAAGGTGAGTGGGCAGAGCGACGAGCGTGGGTGGGCGGGGCGGACAGCAGGCATGAGTGGGCAGGACATGGGCGTGAGGGGTGGGGCGGGGTGGGTGGAGCAGGCAGCCCTCAGCCCCAGATGAGCCAGCTGACCCCTCATCCTCTCACAGGGCAACTTTGGCAACGTGGAACTGTGCCGCTATGACCCTCTGGGGGACAATACAGGGCCCCTGGTAGCAGTGAAGCAGCTACAGCACAGCGGGCCAGACCAGCAGAGGGACTTCCAGCGGGAGATTCAGATCCTCAAGGCGCTGCACAGCGACTTCATCGTCAAGTACCGGGGAGTCAGCTATGGGCCAGGTGAGCGGTTCGAAACCCGCCTCTATTCCCTTCCATCGGGTCCCATTGAGCAGTGAAGTGCGACCCCCCTGAACCCCGGCTTACATAGTTGAGGCTTGAACGAACCAACGCACGCGGTAGAAGGTGCGCGAGAGCTATTGTCACTGTCCGCAGGTCGCCAGAGCCTGCGGTTGGTGATGGAGTACTTGCCCAGTGGCTGCCTGCGGGACTTCCTGCAGCGCCACCGCGCGCGCCTGCACTCCGGCCGCCTGCTGCTGTTCGCCTGGCAGATCTGCAAGGTGCGGTCAGCGCAGAGGTCGGGGATCGAGGGCCCTGGGGTCGGAAATCCTGGCGCTGGGGATTGGGAGTCAGCAAGGGTCCCGGATCCCGGGCCCATGGGATCTCACGGCCCCTTGCAGGGCATGGAGTACCTGGGCGCGCGCCGCTGCGTGCACCGCGACCTGGCTGCGCGAAATATCCTGGTGGAGAGCGAGGCGCATGTGAAGATCGCGGATTTCGGCCTCGCTAAGCTACTGCCGGTCGGAAAGGACTACTACGTGGTCCGCGAACCAGGCCAGAGCCCCATCTTCTGGTAAGAGACCCAGCCCCAGGCGCCGCGCCCACCAGGCCCCGCCCCTTCGGCCGTTTCTAGTCTAGCCCCGCCTCTCCCTACGGCCTGGCTCTTCATACTCCATGGGTTCCCTTCTCCTCTCTGTCCGTCTGGCTCCTCCCCTCACGCAACTTATACCTAGATGCCCATCATACAAAGCTGACCAGTCCCAAGCCCCGTCCTATCCCCATAGACCACGCCCACAGCCCCCCCCCCTTATTCCATTAGTGCCCGGGAGCCTCTGAGTCGGCTCCTGAGGGCAGTGCCACTACGGAGGCGTCTGACCACGCCCCGATGCCACGCCCATGCCCCCATACACGTGAGCTAACCTCGCACCTGTCCCCACGCAGGTACGCCCCAGAATCCTTGTCCGACAACATTTTCTCCTGCCAGTCTGACGTGTGGAGCTTCGGCGTTGTGCTGTATGAGCTCTTCACCTATAGCGACAAGAGCTGCAGCCCTTCGGCTGTGCGTACCCGCCCCGCCGCGCCCCTCCCCCTGATTCCCAGCCCCTCCCTCCTGACTCCCAGCCCCACCCCCTGATTCCCAGCCCCTCCCCCTGATTCCCAGCCCCTCCCTCCTGACCCTCAGCCCTCGCCCTGATTTCCAGCCCTTTTTCCTGACTCCCAGCCCTCTTCCTGACCCCCAGCCCCCCCCCC